AAGAAAACAAAGAAAATAAATGATTCTCTGTCCCACACTTTAAGCATGCATTGTCCTCAATGAAAGGACATAACTATTAAATAAGAGTGAGAGAAAGGAAAGAACACACCCGAATAGTCAAGGAGGATAAATGATCATATAAGCATCCTTTTTCCAAAGAGATATCTTCTACATTATCTTCTTCTAAAGCGGGGCTCTCATGAAATAACTTTGGGTAATTTCCATTGAACTTGAAATTTTTATTAGTGCCTTCGCCTTTTATTCCATGATCAGAGAAGAATCTTTGATAAGTAAAAGTGTTGAATGGGCACATGATCTTCTTTTCCACAACACAAAAAGTCAAAAGATTGAGGGGATGCCTCTCTATTTTTACTATATCTTCAAGTGAGATCCTATACATACACATGAACAGACTAATATCATAAATATCATCCAAGATCCATCCAATTTCTTTCTTATGCTTCTTAAAAACCTGCAAAATTTATTTTCTTGATCAAAATAAAGTTTAGAAGAAATTATAACCGGGAGTTTTTCATTCATCTCTAAATAAGTATAATTAAGATTTTCAGGATTTGGTTTTAGCTCTCGGGAAGGTGGTTGTTTGATGGATGGTTTGTTTCGGGCAACCGGGGTGTTGAGAGCTTCATCTACATGAGCAACTTCATTTGCAACCTCATGTGAAATAAGAATATCAACTTGCAAGGTAACCTCAATTTCAGCACAAACAGAGTAAATTTTAGTGTCAGTACAAACATCACAAGAGTAAACATCATCAAAATCAAACAATGATGGAAAATCAACTGCAAATAAATCAGTACAAATATCATCAACAGTCTCAGAAAGCAACTCTATTAAAAAAACAAAATTCTCTTCCAAGGGTTATTGGTTAGATCCTTGAGCTTGTTGCATGGTATTCATCAAAGAGGTAAGCTATTCAATCTGTGTTTGCAAATTCCGGAGAGTAGAATCTATTTGTTGTTGAAACTGGAGATTATTTGCAGCAATTTGTTTGACAATATCCTCTAGTGAAGGCTCGGAAGGTGCATAGCACACAATCTAAAATTCCTTCAGATTCTTATATGGATCCTCACCTGCAAGACCATTAAACTTTGGCAACAAGTGTATTAAACAATACTTCAATTCAGTAGGTGCATCAGCTGAAGGATAATCAATACATTCACCATTATAGTTCACATCAAAGGCAACCAACTGCCTCAAAGTTCTTTGTTCATCCATGTTATCAACAAACACAGAAATATCAAGTATGTCTCAAATAGGCAGAAACAAATAGAAAGAAGTAAAATGATTAAAATAAATTCATAAAAAAATATAAAAACATCAAAATTAGTCTAACAAAGTAAAATAAGAAATTATAGAATTTTTTTGACATTGTGAAAATAGTAAAAAATTAATTAAAAATAGAAAAGAGAGGAATTCGTCGATTTTTTTCTGAACTTCTGGAATTTTTTTGGAGCAAATCGAAATAATAGCTTTCAAATGTAACCGGTAGGCTGGAATAGTTACCATTGTACTGCAACCTGTATTATAATCCTGAAAACCAACAAACACAATAAAAAAACAAGAAAAAAAACTAGCAAGAATACTAAACCTATGACTCTAATATCGGTTAATAAAAATAAGAATCCCCGACAACATTGCCAATTTGATCCGCTGTCGCGCACAGATAAAAAATGAGTAAATTTTAAATGTAGTTACGGTAACGACAACTCGAGTATCGTATCACAAAGATTCTTGTATTATTATTAATTAATAGGAATCTAATTGGGGGGGGGGTTGGTTTCAGGGTCGAAATATAAGAATAGGTTAAAATAAGTTATTATTCAATAAGCTAAAAAGTCAATCTGCTGATTTGGTTTCTACCTATCATCGACTATTGTAATTCCAACCTCCTAAGCGGATTATCTAATCCTACTCGATTATAATATCCATTGACAAGCGCAATTGATAGTATGAGTTTTATGTTTCTATTATTCGAATTAAGCAAACGGGGTTAAGTTTCATGAATTAAGCAAACATGAATTAAACGGACACGATAGCAAATTAAGCAAATGAGAACGTGACTATGTTTAGGATCATACAATCAATCGAATTAAATCAATATAATCTATGCAAATCGAATTAAGAAAACAAAAGACATAGATTAATATTGAAAGGAATAAAACTGAATTAGAACTATTATAATCTCAAGGTATTGGAACCCGAATACAACAAATTGTCTGGATCGGTTAGTTCTCTATAGGAATTCGTACAAAAGCTTCAAAATATTTTAATCGTGAAAAGAAGGTGTCCATCGTGAAAAGTAAATAATAATCTCTCTAGTGGCTACAAGCCTTATAAAATAAAATAAGGGTTTCCACTTACAAAACGAAACATGCCAAAAACATAACCCAGACCCACTAAAAAGACTCAAAAACAAATTAATTTCTAACTTTTGAAACTTCAACGTATTACTGGGACTTATGCACACCGAATTATATTTTAACTCCAATATGAAAGTTGTAGCTTTTTCTCTTAGCTTTCTAACGAATATTAGAACACATTAATCTGATTCTCGTAGCTCCAATTATGATTTTTTCATTGAAAGCTGCTAATGCTGAAAATAAAATACGAAAATCAAATTAAACCAAAAATAAACTAAATTAGAAAAATATTATAAAACATAAAAATAAACAAAGTAAAAAATATAAATGCTTAAGTACAAACATGGAAGAATGTGCATCAAAATACACTGATCAACCAACCTGTAGATCATTGACATTCGGGTCTTCAACTATCTTCAAGTTATCGTTATACAACTTTGCCAACCAAAAAATTGTCATGTGCACCCATGTTGTTCTTACACTACTAAAAGGCTTCCTCAGGGTCAGCTTTCAAATAAACCACTGTTATCTCCACTACAACAACCTTGGTGATCTTAGAATGATCAAGCAACCTTTCTCTGATTTGAAGGTGTAAGAGGCTAGAAACATCATCTAATATAATCGTCATCTTGCTAATACGGAGGTGGAAAATGACGTTTCACTATGCCATCTCTCAACAAATGCCGCCTAGATGCCATGGCTGATGATGTTGTACCCGAAAGCATAAAGGCCTACAAGAATGGAGGTCTGGAGTGCACTTTGGAAACATTCCTCCTGAGGCTGAAAAAGACTGAATCTTTCTGGCATGATTCACAGATTTCAAACATTCACGTTCCTGTTGAAAATAAAACATAACATGTTCAATCAAATTGAATTTAGTTAAAATATAAAAAATAGAATCGTTAAGAAATATACTTCTCCGTCCCATATATGCGGAGCCACATGATCTCCAAAGTATATCAGTGATGAAGTATCCGTGGGTCCTCTTGGAAAAGGGTCCGCAAGTGGGGCCTCCTCAACAACTAGGGTCTGCTGTGCAGTTGGGGCATCCTTCTCATGGTGTGCCCGACTCTGGGATGTCGACCCCTGTGATAGTCGACTCCTAAAGGTCGACGCTTCCCTGTCATGAGGCATATGGACGACTCTAGTCTACTCATGCTGAAAAGCCATCTCGCAGCGAGCAAACACGATTAGGGTTTCATGATCGTGTCTCACCCTGTCGATGCAGTTATGGATTTTAGCCATTTTTCTTGAAAAAATATAAGAAAAGAGATTAGTGCATCAAGAGAGAAAAAGTTCGGAGATGTATCTTCAAACACAAAAAATAACACATTTTGGAGACAGATCTTTGAAAAAAGCTTCATTTTTTTCATTTCCGTGGCAGAAACATTGCCATTGCCCTAACCATCAAAAACTCATTCAAATCACCCAAATCATAGAAACAAATTCTACACATAATTTATTTCAAATGCTAATAATATATAATGCATTAAAAACATTCTATTTGAGCTAATATATTAATCAAAACTCAAAATAAGATAAATAAAAACTTACTCAAAAATGTGTTGATGAGAGTGTAAACTGTTATAAGGAGTTGAGAATGGCAAGATACAAGTAAAGGATCTGAAGTTGCTTCTAAACTTGAGATTGAATGTAAACTGAGAATAAGTAGAGGAGGAGAATGAGTAGAGGAGGAATAAACAAAATGTTTGTTTTCTGAAAATGAAGAAGAAGAAAAGAGGGAAAGTCCGACACGTGTTTAAATACGTTCACCTAGTTTTGAGATACATCTCCGAAACATTTTTTTTAATTAAAAAAAGATTAATTCGAAGATGTATCTATAAAAATATCTTAAAATCCATTCGCATGTATATCTTCAAATTAATCTGTGACTAAAATAAAAAATGGATGTTTTCAAAAATATATCTCCAAAAATAGAGGATATTTTAAAAATTTTGCATAGAACTTGAAAGAAGGTATAATAGCTATGAGAGTGCAATGATAAATTCCCAATTAAGAAATTGGGGTTATTATCATAGCAAACCAACCGGGTCATAAGACTCCACCAAGTTAGATATGTCAAGAAAATAAACAAACAAGTTTTCAATTTGGTAATAAAGACCAAGTTTTTAATTTGATCATTTCTTTCAATCAAGACCATCCATTGATCTCTCTAAATCCACAAAAACCAAATCCAACCGTCCAATAATGAGAGCAAAAACTTGAAATTTCAAAACCAAGAGGGGGAGGAGGAGTGTCTTCTTTCTTCTTCTTCTTCCTGAAGCCCTTTCTTTTTTCTCTCTGCAATTCACTTTCTCTCTCTAATAACCTTCACAAATTTCCTTCACTTTCTCTCTCTAAAACCTCTCTCTCAATCTCTCATTGTTTCACCAATTTTGAATTTTGGATCCAAATTATAATTTTTTTGAATTTTCAAAAAGAATTAAATTTTTATTCGAAATTCAAATTTTCCGAGCTTCGAAATCCGTGTCCGAATTTGTTCACACTCTGAACCTCATCGAGTTTTTGAAAAATTTGAGGGAAATTTCGTAATCGGTGTTCGTTTTGGGTTTGAATTTGAATTTGAAACTCTGCGTTTTGATTGTGATTCTGTTGTTTATGATGGAGGAAGGTGAAGGGGGAGATAGTGGTCGGAAGAATGTTCCGTTGGTTTCGGAATTTGTTGTGGCTGCTTCACCGGCGGCGGCTGCAACGGCGTGGTTGGATGCTCCGGCGAAGAAGCTTGCGAGACAGCTGGATTTCAATGCTACGATGGAACAGTCGAAACCGCAGCTGCAGACAACGACTGTGACGGTGCAGAAACCGGTGCCGATTTTGCCTATGCCGCCGATGGGACTTCACGCTTCTGTGAGGGTTGGGTGAGCTTGTTTGTTTGAAATGATTAACTGTTTTGGATTTTGATAAAATTTGAAAAGAATTGAAAAGAGTCCTCTTTGGTTTTAGGTGATTGGTTGATTTCAATTTTCAAATTTTTTTCCCTTGGAAATGTGTAGTTTTATCATTCTTGGTATGTTGTAATGTGTTGTGTTCTTCATGTGGCGGGGAGTTTAAATTTGTTCAAGTTTGATTAACATTATAGATAGGAACTTAAGAGGTTAGAATGTAGGCTTTAATTGCATTCACATGTTATGAACTTCTTCGCTGTAATTTGACTAGTTTCCATTCATGTTTGGGTTATGATTAATAAGTTTTTAGAATTTAGGAAACGGATATTTAGTGGTAAGTGGTAACCGGAGTCAAGTTAGTGATCTCAACCATTGACATAGATTAGACGCATGAGATTCCCGCTTTGCTAAAGTCACAATGTGAGCTTTCTAATTGCTACTCAACGACTCAGATTGATTGACTGCAGTGATCAGAAGGAATTTCGACTGCAGGGAATCTGGGTCGTTGAGTTTACTCTTATATGTGTATATATGGTATAGAATGGCTGATATGTTGTTGGTGCAATGAAGATGGAGGGGAATTGATTTTTGTGAGAAAAACATATGATATGGTTGGATACATTTGGGTCACTAAGTAATTGAAGGAAAAAGTGGAGGAAAAACTAGTTTTTTTTTTTTTAAAAATTTAATTTTATATTTTGAGATGGTGAAATAGAGGGAGATGTGAATATAGGATTCAATCGACGGAATGAAATGGAAAAGGCTTTTGTTATTTCATTTTTGATGGAAAAGTGCCTTTCAAGCAAAAAGGAGAATTATACAACAAGTTCATTAGATTAGTGACACTATGATTACGATTCTTGAATGTTTGGAATAAAGGTCAACAAGAGCATAGGGGTAACTGTTACATAGATGAGAAAATATAAGATCATGATTAAATGTGTTGAAGACAAATTTGTGGCGACTGACGCCGATTGTGGAAAATATGGTAAGTTTATGTATAATATAGTTTGGACATGCGAGAGAAAGATCAATAGAAGTTCTAGATAGAAGAAAGGTAGACCAAGAGAGCTACTGCTTCAAGTCAAGTAGGCATTTCCTTATGGTACATGATTTTGAAGTTTTGATTCTGTTAGACATTGAAAGCTATGAATGTGATATAAGATCTCTGTACCTGTCTTTATGTTTTGACAAGCTGGAGCTGATGTATCTGTTTGTGAGTAAATTGCCACGAAGATATCCACTTTGACTGCGACATTTTGCAAATGTCTTCATGTAAAAGCTCAAGCAACTGTTATTGGTCTTCTATTAACTAACCTTTAATTTTTCAGGAAACCAGAATCTCCCAAACCAAGACCAAGACCTAACTTTGAAATGAAAGAAGGTACTCCAAAGAAGCAAAAGCAGTGCAACTGTAAACACTCTAAATGCTTAAAACTGTAAGAAAAACTCTCTTTCTCTCTGCAAGTGTGTGTGTTTCTTTGAATGGTGTCTGCAGACAATAAGCACATATCCGCATTTGTGTGTGTGCATTGCATACCATGTGCTAGCGCACATTCTCACATTTGCAACTATGAAATGCAGAATTGTTCGTAAGTAGTCATGGACAATATTGTATGAGTATATACTCTTGTTGTTCTTTGAAGTATACAGCAACATGTTTCTGTTGCTTAATGTTTAATAAGGCGCCGCCTTCAATGGGTACGAATTTACCCTCATCCTTTCCATGATTGAAGTTTTGTAGCATCAAGATTCCCTATTAAAAATAAAGGAATTTTCTCACCTATCAAATGATTGATCATTATTTTTTGTTGTTTATGGTTACAATGAGAATTAATGCCCGTGCATTCCTGATTTTGATTTAGTGATTTTAATCTTTTATCATTAGTTAAGTTTCCTTATATCAAAAGACTTCTGATTTTGCCTTTCTTTCCCCCCTTCTTATTTTGAGTAGTTGTGTTTCGTTCCCTTTCTTTCTTAGTTTTTGATATTTTTCTCTTGATTATTTAATGAATGGTTGAAGCTCTAAAGTCCAAAACTAGCAACTCCTCAAATAGGGTAAAGTAAAATCTTGGGGTGACCTTGGGTAGGCATCTGTGGCCCGCAGTTGCCTGCTTTGACATGATTACCCACAATTTGTTTTTGTGGGGAGGAGATTAGCTTTCTGATTCAACAATATCGAACACTCCTCAATTTGCAAGGAAAATGGAAATAGTTGGGAACATGAAATAAATAGCACACCTGACCAGGAAACAAAATTGGGGTAGTCTACATCATCAAAAAAATTATATAGTACATATAGGTAGTTTTAATGTACTAGTATAGTCATTGGTTTCCCATGGCCATAGTTAGGCCCTATTTTATCTGAATTATCATGAAAAATGTTTTTCCCTTGGTCAAAACATACCGTCTTCATTCGTTTAATCTCTCCTTTGGCAGAGGTAATTTGTCGTTACAGCTTACTGGCTGCTATTATTATACAATGCTACGTGAAGTTGACTTTCAAAATGTTTTGTGCAGATATTGTGAATGTTTTGCATCGGGAATATATTGTGATGGTTGCAACTGTGCAAATTGTTTTAACAATGTTGATAATGAAGCTGCTAGACGAGAGGCTGTTGAAGCTACTTTAGAGCGCAATCCAAATGCATTTAGGCCTAAAATTGCGAGCAGCCCTCAGGGAGCTCGCGATAGCAGGGTAAGTAGGTCTAACTTTTTGTGGCAGGTAGTGTTGTATAGAAGTTTTATTCTGTGCTGATAATGCTATCTCTGATATTTGTTCCTTTTTACTGGGGGATATATAATGCAAAAGTAAAGAGACTTTTGTGGATATGAAAGGAGCTCCCTTTTTCCATGTGATTTTTTTCCAATAGTAGAAAGCTTCCTATTCGATTAGGTGTGCCGCCATTCCATAACTGATAATTATGGAATTACACCTTCTGCTTCAGAGTTACAGCTGGAAAATAATTTCCTAGATAAATTTTTTGTTGATATTAAACATTCTTACTCTGTATTATTGGCTGCTATTGGTCCATTCCATTCAATATATTGATTCTATTATTCTCAGGTCATAACTTCGATCGATTATTCTTTTTCTTAGTATCTTGAAATTATTTCCTTGGAAGACAACAGTGTTAAATTATAACTCGACGAAACTACATTTTGATTTTTGTTTACTCATTTGTTTGATTTTATTTAAAAAATTTAGGATAGGAAGACAATAGTGTTAAAATATAACTAGAAATAAGTTGTAATGTTTTTTCAATCTCATGCCTACACAACAATTTATATTTTCACATAAAGTTGGACTTATCCTGGTTTAATTTTCTGAAATGCCTGGATCTTATTATTAAACTACCTTACAAATGCTTCTGTATATGGTCTAGTTAAATGATAAATTGCAGTTTTTAGACTTGGCAATGTCGCATTTATTAGAAAATTTATTGAACAATTTTTTTAATCTATTGTATACTAAATCTTGTTTGTCGACTATTGCAATTTGAAAATAAATGTAGGTGGAGACTGGAGAAGGTGTAATAATAGGAAAACATAACAAGGGGTGCCATTGTAAAAAATCAGGGTGTCTTAAGAAGTACTGTGAATGTTTCCAAGCCAACATTCTTTGTTCTGAGAACTGTAAATGCATGGACTGCAAGAACTTTGAGGGAAGTGAAGAGAGACAGGCTTTGTGTCATGGAGATCAAAATAACAACACGTATATTCAGCAAGCGGCAAATGCTGCTATAACTGGAGCTATTGGTTCCTACGGCTATTCATCACCTCCAGTATCAAAGAAACGAAAAGGTCAGGAACTCTTCTTATGGCCTACAGCCAAGGATCCATCAATTGGCAAGCCGGGACAACAGGTAAAACTTGATCATTGCACAAGGTGTACTGATACTGGGGTTTATTTAAACATAGGTATTGGTTAACATTCAAACCCGTCGACATGGCAATTTTTAGTCACATACGACAACTATGTTTTTGTTAGGAATTGACATGATTATCTTTGAGTTTAAAATATACGCATTTAAACTTGACATAAGTATTCACTTAATTAAACTTGGCTCCACTAGATTTCTCAACTTTCTAATTTTAAATTCAAAGGTACAGGGACAAGTTAAGTCTGAAGCGAAAGTTTTAGCTTCAATACCATAATGGTATAAGTCATTCATATTTGCTAGCTGCGTAATATGGTGAATGCTATCAAGACTCACAAGCACCTTTTGTTACTCGACTTAGGTACACTATCATCACAAAATATTTTTAATGTTTGTCAGGTAAACCATGTAAAAAATTCAGCACCCTCATCATCATTATCACCCGTCTCAAGTGGCCGTGTTGCAAATGCAACATTAGGTCAGAGTCCATCAAAATTAAAGTACAGGTAATATGGGTTATTGGCAATACATGAAATCAAGGTAAATTTAATAAACTTAGTTGCTTACTTGATTATTTTTGAAGGTCTCTTTTAGCAGACATTGTACAACCGCACCACCTCAAAGAGCTTTGTTCAGTTCTGGTGCTAGTATCTGGACAAGCTGCAAAAACACTTGCAGGTACATTGACATTTAACGCCCCCAATCATCAATTCTGTAATTTCTCTTTAAAGGCCCGTCATGTTTTCTTCAATTCTTTTGTTGTATGAGTGGCTGATATTAACCTTGAGAGTCTTTTTCTCTGTACTTGTCACTTTTCCATGCTTTTGTAAACAGGCTCACTAGTTAAGATCACACATAAGGATGGGATACCTTTTTCACTACCAGTCTACCATTGATTGATTTTTGTGTTGTTTTGTTTTAATTTCATCAGACCAGAAAAATTTAGTGGAAAAGCGTACAGAAGATGAGACACAAACATGCCTTGCTTCTTCAACTCAAGAGCAACCACCAAGTCAAAAAGAAGTTGATGTTGAGAAAGCTGTGGAAGATGATTGTTCGAGTGCGAATCAAACAGATAAAATCAGCCCAGGTGATTCCTGTTCAGATGGTGCTGACGTCTCAAAAGGGAGACCAATGTCTCCTGGGACTTTAGCCTTGATGTGTGATGAGCAAGATACAATGTTCATGACAACTGCCTCTCCCATTGGGCCAACGACCCAAGCTTGCAACACATCTTCGCAATTTCCTAGTGGACAAGGAGTGACAGAGGTCTATGCTGAGCAAGAAAGAGTTGTATTAACACAGTTTAGAGATTTTCTCAATAGAGTTATCACTATGGGAGAAATAAATGGTAATATTTTTGTATATTCCTTATATTTTTGCATTACCCTGTTAAAGATTAAAACATGCTTATTTTTATTCCAAATTCCAGAGACAAAGTGTTCTTCATTGGCTAGAAGTGAATTAGAGGGTCAAAAGGATCCAATCGACAATGGAATTGGAAATACCAGTACTGAGATAGCACATCAACAAGAAGCTACTAGCAACGGTGATGCCAAACCTGTAGTTCCACCTATGGCCACAACTTCAACACCTGTGGTTCCTGGTGATACTGATACTATAGCCGAAAATGGTGAAACTAAGCTGAATATGGAAAAACAGGTATGAAAGGAATCTAACTTAGAAGAATTTGCAGAGATACCCCTGAAAGAAAAAATGAGAGAAATATCTTTAACGGTTTAGAACTTCTCTGTAATGTAATTAAAAAAATTGCAATTAGTCATTTTCTGCATTTTTTTTCCTCTGTGAAGGTCTGTTAGCTTTCAGGCCTCACCATTAATCCATGGAGGATCAATTTTTTCTTCCATCAATTTTCTTATTTTACTTTGGCCATTCATAAATATCTAATTTTATTTTACAGCTTCAACATTGCTTAATCGCGACGGTTGTAAATTGCTGAGTTTTAATTTTATAAATTATAATTTTTATATTGCATTCAATGTCTATTTTGCGTTTTTTAACTTAGGGATTTATCCTTATTTCATGTCGCTTCAGCTTATTATCCTTTTTTTTAAAACTCAAACAAGTCTACTCTTAGGATGCAACTCAGCCAAGTCATGGAGCCAACAATTTTTCCAATGTCAACTATATTATGGGCATCTGCATTAAAGTTTCTGCTCATAAACATGATAGTAGCCTCCTTAAAATTACTCAAAAGTAGTCTATAATCTAAAACAGATTCTAAAACAGTCAACAACAGTAAGTGCATCTAATTGAACAAGTACATTTCCAACATCAGATCACACACAATTCAGGTAGAGTTCGTTTCACGGATATGTTTTTCTCTTTGCAGCTAGGATGATTTCGGTTGGTTGGTTCCTAATCACACATCTCATTGTTATGAAATCTTCTTGATAACAGCTTGCGTCCACTTGAATGATGTTGAATCCTTTGTATTTTGATTCTCTATCACCAATTTGAATCAATTTCTTTCTTACTTGCTAGCTAAGCTTGCGTCCGCTCAAATGATGCTGAAACCTTTATATTTTGGTTCCCTATCACCAATTTGAATCAATTTCTTTCTTACTTGTAAGCTTGAATTAGCCTTGTAGAATTCCAACACAACGACGTCAAGTGCTCCACTAATTAAGGTACAAACTGTTGTTGTTGGAAAAGGCAAAGATTTATAGCAGACTGGATTTTTCAGAGTGTTGCAGAACAATAGTGTCAAAGGGGTTACTACACTTTAACTAGTGCATCAGTCAAGTCATTTAGTTCCAAAATAGAGGGAATTTGAATACTAAAAAGGGAGGAGAACCATACCAAGTTAGCTAAATCACACTGCATAAAGAAGTTTTGTGCAAATTCAATATTAGATTGCTAGAGAGGGTAGGACAACTCTAACTTCAAGCCTTTTTTCAACATATGGCAAAATATTCTTTGCTAGTCTCCACATGAAATTCTCATCTTGTTTTGGATTGTGCCCTTCCACAACTTTTGATGGGGAGCGTTTGAGGGACCTGGTTTCTTTTGAGTTTGCTCTGTACCTAAAATGTGATAGGCGAATCTGAGTGAGTACTCCCCATTCTTCTCGATGTGCCAAATAATCTTATCTTTGGGTTGCCTTATTGATAAGAGAATGCTAGCAATTTGGCCTGCTTTCTTTGGACTAAAACACACCCTAAAAGGTCCCTTTTCAAAGTAAAATGGTCTTGGTCAATGAGTTCATTTGCATGGCATCTTGGTCGATAAGCCGCACTGGACTATGAATATTCAAACCTGCCTGACAAGGCAAGCTAATTATTTTTCCACACTTTCACATTTTCCCCATTTGCCATCCTCCATCTAGACCCCATTAAAACCAAATCACTTGCACTGAGAATATTCCTCGACGCATAATCTGAGGAGAAGCCCACTTTTGCATTTAGAATTGAGCAACTTGGATAGTTTCTACCTTTGAAGGCTCTCTAACAAGGATTGCTCCCATGTGAGCAATCTCCAGTAATGCTCCCCCAGCAGGCTTGCATTAAAATCACGGATGCCTCTAAAGTCCATCCCTCCTATGTTTTTTTCCCCAGTTCATCCAATGAATTTTTCTCTATCCATTCTTGGCGCACCACCAAAATTTGACCAGTATCGATTCAATATCATTACAAAAGTTTGTAACAACTCATAATATAATTAAGAATGGCTTGAGTGACGATTTTGATTAAGACTTTCTTCTTTGTTCTATAGATAAGAACCTCTCCTTTCACCCTTTGATTTTCATCCGTATGCAATCAATAACAAAAGAAAAAAAAATCTTTCTTGGATCTTCCAAAAGCAATAAGGAGTCTCGAATATTTTGAGTGAGTCATCTCGAGTATTTTGAGTGAGTCATCATAGTCTATAGACCCATCCAGTTACGAATTATTTCTTTTACCTCATCATGCACGTTTCAACTAAAGGATGTCTCTTATTTATCAAAATTTGCCATTTATCCTGAAATACCTAAAGAGTGTCTTTTATTTATCCATGTTTATCATTTATTCTAAAATGCCTAAAGGGTGCCTCTTATTTATCCAAGTTTACCATTTATCCTGAAATGCCTGATATTTGGCAAGAGCTTATTATTCATTACTCCCTTTAACTTTGAATGAAAATTCAAAATTACATTCTTTAAAATGTGAATTTTTGGTATGCGGATATCAGATGTCTTAAAAGATGTTTAGACACTGATATCTGATTAAAACACAACAAGTTAAATCCAATTAAAAGTACTGTAGGTAAATGAACACGCAGAGTTGTTAACCCAGTTCGGTGTTCAACAACACCTACGTCCAGGGATTACCAAGTCAGGGAGGAAGTTCACTAAATAGTATTAGTTTGTAGACCCACAACAAACTATCAACAATTTACAATCTACTCACTTAATCACTACCCATGCTTAACTTCTACCTAAGACTCACCTAGGTATGAGACCCTTCTCAAATCCCTTTCAAACACAACAGTGATGAAAAACACTAATACTTAGAAAATTTTAGAAGACACTCTTCATTAACACAAAATCATTCAATGCTTAAAAGTGTAAGAATGATTAACAGAACTTACAACTCAATAGAGACAATCCTACTCTTATATCAAGATGATATTAGAGAGTTTCATAACTAACAAGAACACAAATCCTAAAATCTCACTGAAAAATACAATACATTCTCCACTTAATTTAGGTTTGTAGCCTTTTTTATAAGTAATGTCTGACTGAATTTGAACTTCAAAAACGCAACAAGCCAACTGCTAAATATTTGCAGAATATTCTGCATAAAAATAAGACTCAAATCATATGTCCTAAAATTTCTCAACATTTAGTAAAACAAATTAATCTTCTAAAATAAAATCTTTGTTTTCTCAATCTTGGACGCCATATAGAATAACCTAATATTTCCAAATATTCAGAATTTGTTATAATCAAATATATCCAAGTGCACAACTAGATAGGATATCTTGTCCAATATATTTTCTCTGCAAGTTAGAACATCCTATTCAACATGTTGCTGTCAAAATTAGTTTTACCAAAATTAATGTCAATCATAAAAATAGAGAATTAACAATCTCCCCCTTTGACACATTTTGAATAAAACAAATTTGCAATCCTTGCACATAAATACCACAATTCAGATTTCAGCAAAATAACATAGGTTTGAAACTAAATCAAACACACACAACAAAATATCAGAGATATGAGCAATAAAATAAAACATTAGAGTATCAGTTAGTGGAATCTGTAAACACAACAACATTGAGAAAAATAAATTCTCAATTAGTTTGATTTATGTCAGGACATCATGTCTGATGTAACACCCGACTTTTCCATAATAATAATTATTACATAAACTACGAAATACATATCAGAGTACACAAGTAGGATGTCACATACTTTCAAACTTCATAAAGTTTCAAGTCACTTTATTAATTCATTTATTCAAAATAATCGACTCGGTAGCAGAATAATCAAATTTGTTCACTTCTAGGGCATTGCATCCTCAACAACAATAAAACTCCACTACAGGTGGTCCAGTACAAATATAATAATAAGATACGTAACAAATAAAACAATGCAAAAACATAGCAAATTCTCAGAATCCCGTGTTACATATTGTTCTGGACTGGGCCCGGCTGGCCCAATAGCAAAGATAAAGGCCCAATCCAAACGAACTTGCTAGGGGTCACGCCGACCTAAGGACCATAGCTATGCCCGACACACGTCACTGGGCGACACCCCCGTCCTCGTACTGTCCAGCTCGACATCAGCTCGAGCACTCCTTCGCCAGCGGACACGGCCCACTGCACTCTCAACGGGACTCCGAAAAGACCGCGTCCCTGTCCGCCCGCACTTCACGCAGAACATCCAGGGAGGAGACCACGTGCAGGTCCCCATTATGCACGTAGAACCTGACAGTTCCTCCATTGGGCCAAACCTGCCCGGCCCAATGAAGGAACCTTGGCCCAGCACTGGGGGCTATAAATACCCTCTGTTACCAGAGGGTCAGGTATTCATTCTATCACATATACTCACACTTTTACCTGCTCGTACTCTTACTTACTTCAACATCGGAGTGCCTTGCAGGTACCCCCCCCACCTCGTTCAAAACTTCAGCTCGGAGCCAGCCGTGACGGTCCAAGTTTGATCAGGTTAGATCAGTGGCGCCGTCTGTGGGAATCTAGCTTCCCCGTCTTGCAAACTCAAAGACTAAAGCTCAAATTCAACTACCTGTCATGGCTGATCAAGCTCGCGATGAGCAGAACGTCCGTGTCGTCGACATTAATAACGGCACCGCGGACAAAAACGGACACCTTGATAACGCCGGCAACCCCGGCCACAACACCATTCCTGTGACAACCGCCCCCGGAACTTCCTCCTACAGGGACGGAGCTACTGCATCCTCCTCCTCGGTCCCTCCACCACTTGAAGACGACCCGGCGGCCCTCGCACACTATAGAGCTGCCCGGTTCCAGGAAGTCCCCGTCCCCGCCGGGGCGGATGCCACAACTCAAGCGCTGTTCGCAGCAATTAATCAAACGAACTATCTCATCTTCGCCCAAGGGGAGAGACTGAGGGCGCTTGAAGACGAGCGAAGACCCCCGAGGAGGCATCGGAGACCCCATACTCCCCCTCCTCGAGTAACTGA